GCAAACAAGTCCAAGCTGGTCCACGTAAAGAATAGCCGAGGTTGGAATCCAGTTCCAGCAGGAGCTGAACAAGGCCGCAGCCAGGCAGTGACTGGGTAGTTCCCTCGCCTTCCAGATTCCCCAAGAACAACGCTCTGACCCTTCAGAGCGGGCAGACTGGCCAGTCCCAGAACTAGGCTGCATTCATGGGTGCACATCGTGTGTGTGCATGTGTGCGTGCGTGTGTTTGTGTACAGATGTACACTCAGGGATATGCAGTACTGAAATACTGAAGACGTGGATGTAAGCCTGTTCCATATGCACAGGGCCTCCTATCCTTGAGGCTGTTGTTCACCCATGCCTGGAAGACCTTTCCATGCCAGTACATGTGTGGGTCCAACAGAGTTTCTCTAACTTTGGTGCATGGAGTGTCATTATATGCAAACCCTACAATGGGCAGTGAGCTTATCACCAGTTTATCGTTATTAAACTGCAATAACCGTCTTTCACAGCAACACCTTCTAAAGGTTTTCAGTGGGGGTGAGTGTCTCCACAATGTGATCTCCATCTGTCTCTGAAGTCTTACCTTCCAGTCAGGGGTCCTTCCCCAAATATCATCCTCTGGTCAAACTGGCCTACCATGATTTTTTAGCCCCAGACCTGTGCACATGGTCAATCCTCGCACCTGGCAGGCTCACATCTCTTCTCCCCATCTTCCTAAATGTGGTCTATCTTAGAAGGTCATCTTGGATTCCCACTGCCCTGTGAAAGCTTCCCTCTTCCCTGGTCTCCCAGCCCACGATAACCTGTTTTGCCAAACAGCTTTGTATTCTGTACCACTCACTGAATGTTTATGCACTCCCTTGTATTATAATAATGTTTCAGGAGGTTAGCAATCCTGGTAAGTGTTTAAAATCAGTGAAAATTTGCTGGTTTCTTTGTTTGCATGCTTGCTTTTTGGTGTTTCAAGACCAGGTCTTACCCTGTAGCCTAGCCTAGGCTCAAACTTTGATTCCTCCTGTCTCAGCCTCCCCAGTGCTGGGATTACATTGAGTGCCCCTGCACCGGGCCTTCTTTTGCCTTTTAACTGAATACTCCAGCTCTGTGTTCTTGCCGCTCAGAGCATTTCTTCCTTCAGAGTCAGACAAGTCCATCCACATTGTTCCTTTGCTCACAAACTGACAGTGATGATGATGTCATCCTCTACAGCTCCCTCATGAGTGACGTCAGAAATAAGTAGTCATGACGAGGAGTGTCTTAGAAGGCGACCTCCACCTTAGGCCCACCTCCCTCCTCTCCTCTCCCAGAGGCTTGCTGGCTCCCATGTAGAGATGTCCTCACTGACATCATGCCCGCTGTGGGTCAGGATGACCTTCCTCCCCTTGCCTGTGCTCAGCCTCCTCCTCTTCCGCCACCCAGAGGTCTTCCCAGGAAACCACACAGCTAAATAGACTGTGTTTCTAAGACATGCCTACTGCTCACTGCCTCCGCCTGGAAGTCTGGCCCAGGAGCTCCTGGCTGTCATGCAGCTCCAGCGTAGCTGGAAAGGAAGCCGGGAAGCATAGGGAGGTAGTCGGAAAGTACTGCTGTTTCTGCCACAGAGCTGTTAGGACAAACTTGAGACTTGAAGAAATGGAGGCAGAGCTGGCACAGTGGCATATGCCTATAACTAGCACTCCGGGAGGCTGAGGCAGGAAGACTGCAACTTATCAATACCCTGTCTTAAAATTAAAAATGAAAAAAAGGCTGAGGATATAGCTCAGCGAAAGACCCTGGGTTCAATCCACAGTAGACAGAAAGAGACAGGGAGGGGACAGAGGGAGAAACCAAAAGTGAAGAACAGGAAGGAAAAGGAGGAGGGAGGAGAAGGGAAAGGTGAGAAAAAAGGGAAAGAAGAAGAAAAGAAAGAAATGGAGGCAACAGGAAGAAGCCTTAGGAGAGGCAGGAAGAACCATGAGAAATGGTTCTAGAATATGGCTGGGATAGAGCCTCTGGCCCCAAAGATCTACCCAGTACTGTTGAGAATACTGACTAGGTCACCATGCCTAAAATTCTAACAATGACAGAGGCATTTGGCTGAGTAATTTTTTTACACTGCAGATTCTCTGAGAAGCCTAATATCCCCTGCCAATTCAGATAAGATTTCTGCCTCCCAACTCCTACAATGAAGTCAATGAGATAAGAAGTACCTTGCTGAGAAAAAATAAATAGAAAATATTGAGGTGTGGGTGACTTTAGAAAGTGAGTGTGCCAGCTAGCCAGAATGGAATGCACCTGAAATCCCAGCTACTCAGGAGGCTGAGGCAGGAGAATCAAGAATTCAGGGCCAGCCTGGGCAACTTAGTAAGATCCTGAGTCCAAATGAAGAATTAAAAAGGGCTGGGCATGTTGCTCAGTGGTGAAGCACCCCTGGGTGAGATCCCCAGTCGGGAAGGAGAGGGGGGGAGGAGGGACGGTAGTTTCGGGGTGGGGAGGAGGGAGGAGCGGGGCAGGGTGGGGAGGACTGCCAGGTAAGGAGCCATCCGCCAGGAGAAACTCTGAGCAGCCATGGGTCAGGGCAGGACAGTGATGGACAAAGGACTGCTGCCTTGGTAGCACAGTATGCTATTTCTCTGCCTTAGTTCTCTCTTTGAAAGACCAATCTGAGGCCCTGACAAAACCACAAAAACAAAATATCCACAGAAAATGAGAAATTGTCACTAAGCAAAGACCTAAATAAATCCTTGGGCTCTGTTTTCTCTTAATCAACATAGAAATCGCAAAATTTGAAGTCACACAGCTGGACAATGCTTTTCTGTTTTCCCACTGGCTTTGCTGTAGATAACGCCTCTGACTAAGGGGTTATGATAACAGTTGCCTGGCTTACTTTGCAGATGCTTAAAGGACACAACCGCTAAACACTGACGCTTGAGTCTCCAGACTTCATGGCTGACTCAAATGGGATAAAAGTCAGACGTCCTGTCTTCATGTTGTGTCTTAACCCTTGGACCACATTCTGCTCAGCCCTGCTTGTAGACACGTTGATCACTTGAAAAATGTTTTGTCCAAGACCAGAGTACGGGACCCACTGCCCGTCAGAGCTGGCATGTATTTTTCTTTCTCTCTCCCCTCTTCTTTGCCCCCACTCTGTACTTCAACAGCCAAGAGTTCTACCACCTGAAGGCCCTGAAACCTGCAACAGGGCCCAGCCCCACAAGGCCGAGAGTTCATTGGTTGTTTTTTGAGACAGATTGTCAATATGTAGTTTAGCCTGGCCTTGAACTCGCTATGTAGCCCGGGCTGGCCTCCAGCTCATAACTATCCTCCTGCCTCAGCCTCCCAAGTGCTGGGATTGCAGGCATGCACCACCACGCCCAGCTCAAGGCTGGGATATTGTGCACAGGATAATGGCACCAGCAGCTTCTAGGTCAAGGTGATGGTGCTGATGGTCCTAGACTGTCACAACACAGCTTTGGGAACTGTGTCTCTGGACAATGGGATTTCCAGACTTTAGCTTATTCCAGAAAATCAATAAAAACCTGTGGATCTCTTTGTTCTACAAGCAGCAGCTTGGTCACCCTCTGGCCATGGCCCCAGCAGTTTGGCTGAACACCTCCCTACCCTACCCCTACAGTTTTGCCTGTGTGTGCACGTCGTGGCCTAGTCACAAGTCTAGCATCTCTGGGTCAAAAGATCCCATCCTCGGGACAGAAGAGCAAAGTGAGGGGCGGGAGGTCCTCCCAGCTTTCTCTGGAGGGGAAGCAAGTCTTCCTCCTGCTCCCCTCACCCCCTCACCCCCTCACCCTTGTGTTTGGCAGCACAGACTCAGCCTGGTTCCCAGCTGGACGAAGCAGTGACAAACACGGCACAGCCAGCAGCTGATTAGACGAGTGCATTTCAACCCGTTCGTACGTCGTGCAGGATTTATTTGTTCATTGGTTGTCGTGGTGTTGGGGACCAAGCCCAGCAGAGCACACACTCTATCACTGAGCTGTGCCCCAGCCCTACACAGGATTTCAATTCAGCCTGAGGACCCAAAGAGCAACTGTTTCTATAGAAACAATGATAACAATGCTGTAAATTCCAAAGACCTGGATTACTTATTTAAAAATAAGATCTACAGTCTTATTTCTATTTATAAAAATAATACATATCATTATAAACTTTGAAAAGCATAAGAAAACATAAAGTAATTTCATCACGGTAGCATGCGCTGCTGCCCACCTGTCAAAATTCACACTTGGTTTCCTAGGTACACAGCTGCAAAGCATTTCCAGCCTCACTTCATCACCATCAAACAAACGGATCAACAAGTCTACCCAGATTCATTGACAGGATGTGGCCAGGACCTAAATTCTAGCCAATGCATTTCAAGAGCGCCTGCTCGAGCCCCTGCTGGGCCAGCCCATACAAAGCTCTGAAACTTGCCCTTTGTGCTCAAGGGCCAGAGCCCTTCCCTTCCATGAGCTGGGTGCTTTGGAAGCCTCACGCTAAGGAGAGAAGCCCCTTGTGGCTTCTGAGTGGTTGTGGGAGGAGGGCCAATGGCCCCTGCACACCCCCCCATACCCTGTGGTGCTATATAAACAAACTGTTCCCCTCCTGCATGAGTCGTCACACACGTGGCGTCTGCTCCTCTGCTTCCCTCTACAGGCACCCTGTCCAGTTACTATACTAAAGATTGCCTAGGTTTCTCTAGTAAGCCACGAAGTGTCTCCTGGGAGCCCAGCATATACAGGTGGCCCTCAACAATCATCCCTTGTTCAGATGGGCACTGCGTTCCCAGCGAGTTTTTCCCATAGGAGCCCTTTCTGTCTCCAGTCATGTGCGGTCCAGTGCTGTGACCCCAGAGCCCCACCGCCAGCCTCTCTGGTGAGCGTGTGGAGGACTATGGAACTTTCCATTTCTTCATTTCCTCCACTGGAGAACAAGGTCTTTTTTTATGTAAACCACAGAATATATTTAATTTAAATTAAACATAAAATTAGAATAATGTTTGGTCCTTATCAAGCAGTAACTGCATTGTTTAAGAAAAAGAACAGTACCTTTCTGCCCGCGTTCTGGCAATCCAATAAGGAACAGTCACTTCCAGTTTGATGAGTGATAGATCCTGCAGTCAACATCAATGCACGTGGATCGGGGCCTGAGGGAGACAAAGACCCCTTGATACAAAGTGATTCTGCAGAGTCCGAAGGAGAGCAGCCTCCCTCCTAAAGTATGAGAACCGCAGTGTGAGGAGCAGGAAGTGGTGACTTGTACGACAGATGTGTTTTATTAAATAGAGAGTAAACGTGTTGGTGCTTGTTCATTCCAAGCTGCTGTTGGTGCTGCCTGCATGAAGAGCAGTGGCAAAACCCCCCACACACTTCTCAGCAGTAGTACTCTTCTCATCTGAGGTAGTTCTTTGTTTTTGATTTTTGGGGGCATGATTTCTTTCCAAAGTAAAGAAAGCCAACTTCTTCAAGACACAGGTCATTCAGATTTAAGTGCTGGCCTCCATGATCTCCTTGGGCTGTGCAGAGGGCCAAGTCCTACGAGGTGAGGCCTTCTTTGCCACTGAAGGCTTCTTGCTGTTTGGTCTCCAAAGACAGAAGGTTGCTTGCCCCAATTCCACTGGTAAGGTTTTTGACGCTATTGAGAGACAGTGACAGAGATTTAAAAAAAAAAGAAAGCCTTTATTGCTGGCTTGGGACGGTTGCAGGAGACTGCCAGGATCCTCAGGAGAGGGGCTGGGGAACGGGTCTTTACTAGGTCAGACTGCTCAGCCTGGTGTGCACCTGTGGTGTGGCCTGGGTTGGGGGCTGTGGTGGGTGACCTGGTGCTTGGATTTGAGACGGGCTGCTGGAGTACCCCTGGGTGCAGAGGGCTGGTTGTGGCTGGTGGCTGGCTTGGCACCTGGCCTTTGTGTTGAGGGGAGGAGAAGGACTTCGAGTGGCTGGCTTTGGTGACACACTGGGTAGAAGCTGAGGTGTTCCTGGAGAATTCTGGCCCTCAGGATGGCCAGGAGGTGGGTTTCCTGGCTTGGGGGTGCTGGAGCAGGTTTTTTAACAGCCCAGCGAAAAGTGTGAGGGCTGGGCCAACCAAGAGATGATGGGAGCCGGCACCTGACCAAGCCTGGTTCTGGCCAGTGGTCGTCTGCATGCTGCTTGCCCCTGATGAGGGACAGCTGCAGATGTGGTGTCCTTCGGTTTTGGAGGACCGCTGTCACCTGGGCTCCACGCTCGCTCCAGTATGCCTGCAAAGGAGGAGACGGTCCACCCCCTAAGCCGCCTTCAGCCCAAGAGCTCGGGGCAGGGGATTCTGAGCCTGAGAGAGCCATGGCGCTGCCATCTGTCAGCAGGAGTGGTGGCTGGAAATCAGGGACATGTGCTTTCTACTTAGAGCAGGCCTGCACGTCCACAAGCTTCACGCCAAAGCTCTCCGTCTTCACCGGGTCTCCTTCCACCATTGCCATGCTGACAGGCCGCTGCCTCTCCTGGGCCCTGAGCCAAAGTCATTTCAAGTGTTGGGTGGGTGATTAGAATTCAGGGTACTAAGAGGTGCAAATGCTTCTGATACATTCAATTCTGCCTCTTCAGGAAAGAGCCAGTTGGTGTGCTGAATGCTGGGTTCAATCGCTGCAACCACATGTACAGGTGCAACTGCTTCTAGCTCAGCACAGTTTCCTTCATTTTTGGCCCATAACAAGTTAGAGCCTAAGGGGCTGGGAATTTAGCTCAGTGGCACAGTGCCTGCCTGGCAAGCGCAACATAGTGAGTTCAATTCCTGGTACTGGAAAAAAAACAAAAAACCAAGTTAGAGCCTAACACAGTCACAGTGTTGCTGGGAGTCATTTTATTAATGTCACCAGTCTGAGCAATCTTTGCAAGGAACTTGATTGAACTCCTAAAGTTAATAAAACTGTGTGATACCAACTTCTGACATGTGGAGAACAAGACCTTAACACTTCTCCAAACACTGAGATCTAATAAGAATTAATACTGTATTTATTCTACAGATTTAGAGTGCCAAGGGAATGTCATGTTATCACAGCTAAATTCTTTTTTCCCTTAGAAAAAAAATTTTATTAGTGGATCATAGCTAAATTCCATCTAGCATCTTCTGGTAGAAGTTTCAGCACACTGAGCTCATGTTGTTGACAGATCTGGAGGCAGTTTCTCTGTCAAAGCCTATGCTGACCTCAAGCATGTAACTTTATGCCCCACAGATCAAGAAAAAGGTCTATGGGAAATTAGAGGATTGGACATGAAGAGCAATGAAATAGAGAAAACCATGAGAGGCTGGGGTTGTGGCTCAGTGGCAGAGCAGCTGCCAGCATGCCTAAGACCCTGGCTTCCATCCCCATTACCACAAAAAAGAACAGAGAGGGGGCAAAGGGAGGGGTGGGGGAGAGGGAGGGAGAAGAAGAGAGGAAGGAAGGAAGAAAGGGAGAGAGAGAGAGAGAGAAAGAGAGAGAGAAAGAAAGAAAGAAAAGAAAGAAAGAAAGAAAGAAGAAAGAAAGAAAGAAAGAAAGAAGAAAGAAAGAAGAAAGAAAGAAGAAAGAAAGAAAGAAAGAAAGAAGAAAGAAAGAAAGAAAGAAAGAAAGAAAGAAAGAAAGAAAGAAAGAAAGAAAGAAAGAAAGAAAGAAAAAAGAAAGGGACTATACCAATGGGACCCAAAAATGAAAGTGAAAGTCCTAGGTGACAGCCTAGAGATTTCCTGCTTCCCTATGGCACACACGGCAGATGAAAAGTCTGATTCCCAGCAGCTACTGAGCTCCTGAGCGCCCCGAGGCTTTTCACCCACCTTTCCCACAAATGGATCTGGACATGCAGTCATGTTACCTATTTTGGAATCACCTCTTGAAACCAATATTACAGCTTGTTCCAGTCAGAATGAAGTGGGGCCAAGCTTAATGGAAACTGAAGTGTGCCAGGACCATCATTCCCAAGAACCTGTGCCTTCTGCCGCTGAGCAGGCAGGGAGACTGTCAAGGGGACCCGCGGCAGACACGCGGACCATGGCGAAGGATCACAGCAACCAAGTCAGTGAGCAAAGCAGGGGCTTGAACAACCTGACACACACTGAGATGAGACACAGCTGTGAGGGAAGCCGTGCTCAGCCTGTCCCCCCCCCCCCCCCCCGTGTCTATCTCATCATCCAGTCTTTTGTTCCTGCCACGGCCTTGCCTTCACGACCAGCATCCCTCTAAGTGACCAGCCCGGGAGGGCTGAAGGACACATATGTTCTAACCAAACCGCTAAAAAATTTTTTTAAAGCCTTCAATATCTATAAGTGGAAGTTATGATAGTAAGATTTCAGGCCCTTTATTGGAGAGATATGGGCACCTGCTGCCTCCTGCCCAAGTCTTATCACACAGGCACTAACAACTCAGCAAACATTTTAGTATCTTTGTGCCCAAGAACGTGGACCTCCAAAGCAGTGCATAGTCTAATTCTAGAACTTCTTATCGCTCTAACTGTGGAAGCTGCAATTGTGGTGCATTAACCCAACAAGTGCAGCTGTTGATTTCTTCACCTCTCCAACCCGCACCTGCCCCTGTGTGTGTCACAGCTGGGGTTGGATGCGCTGTGTAAAGACTCACCAAGGGACACCATTAGTGACTGAGCTCCAAGAAAGCCCAAGTGATTTGTGTAAACAGCCCCCACTTCTTCCTTCCCCTAATTAGCCCATGCCCAGAGTTCTTCCAGCGTGGCAAGGCCAACTTCCCCTCGGCCTTCTGGCTTCTTCCATGTTCTCCAGGAGACTGTATCAAAAGGAACATTGGCTACGACTTTCTCCATGAAATACAGTAGTCTCCATTATCCATGAGTGGTTCTTTCTAAGATCCCTGTTGGATGCCTGAGATCTCACAGATAATAATGAACTCTATATATGTTACATTTTTACATAAACACCCATGGTAAAGTTAAAGTTAATTCTAATTTAAAGTTAATTTTACTTTTAACTTTCACTGTGCCATGTTTGTTTGGTTTTTTGTTTGTTTGTTTGTTTGTTTTCCGGTACCAGGAATTGAACTCACGACCTTGTGCTTGCCAGGCAGGTGCTGTGCCACTGAGCTAAATCTGCAGCCCCATGTACCATGTTTACAATAAGATACTAACAACAATAACAGCTTAGATTTTATCAACTTCACCAACTGTTTTTTTCTCTCCTTATTAAGCTGAGAACTAGTACCTTTTCACTTAAAGGAAGCACACTTCACAAATTTTTTTGCATATCTAAATTGTTAGCATTGTTATTTTTGTATTTTGGAGCCTTATTAAGTAAAATAATGGTCACTTTAACTGTAATATTGCACAACCATGACAGTCAGTCTGATAATCAGGAGGGCTAGTAAGTGACTGACAGGTAGGCAATGTACATAGCATAGACACCCAGGGTAAAGGGGGGATTCTTGTTCTAGGAGGCCGGAATGGAAGGACACAAGATTTCATCCTGCTATTCAGAACCATGTGAAATGGGATAACCTAAGAATTGTTTATTTCTGGAATTTTCTATTTAATATTTTCTATTTAATTTTCCACTTAATATTTCTCAGTTCCCCGTTTTTTCCTTTTTTATAGTTATGTTTATTGGTACATCTCAGGTGAACATAATGATCACATTCATCAAGGGAATTTGTACCTGTACATGATATAACTTGATTCTTTTTTTTCCCCACTGTCCTCATTCCCTTCAGCCCCTCTTTCCTTTAATATTTACAAGGGCTTTGTTTCCATTTTTTCCTTCTTTTCCCCTTTTTTTCTTTTTCCTTCCTTCCTTCCCTTCCCCCTGCTCCCTCTCTAGTTTCCCTTCCCATTTGAACATTTTCTTCCTGTTTCACAATAGTTATTATGTATTTTGTTCCTTATTTACGCCTTTGGTTTCTCACACCAGAGAAACATCTGTTTAATATTTCAAAGTTGGCCACGGTGGTGGGTCACTGAAACCACAGACATGAAACTACGGAGAGGTGTGCTGTGTGAGGCATTTCCCGTGTAGTCCACAGGGTGCTCACAGCCATCCTTGCTAGGGTAGAAGGGTGACGCTTCTCCACCAGGAAAGGAGGTGCTGCTGGAAGAGCCACAGTCTCCAGATTCTCATCCAGAGTTCCCTTTGCTATCCTGAACTGTCCCTCTGGCAAGGATGCCTGACCCAGACACCTGTTCCCCACTGAATAATGGGGAGGCCTGTCAAGAGGGTGACTCTTAGGGCCCCCACCCTGAGGCAGAAGGACCACTGACACCA